AAAGTTAAGACTAGTTTAAAGTTATCTTCATTGAAAAGTACAGTGCTTTTCCTTCAAAAATAAGGACTTTTCACTGTGACTCCAAAATTTTGAACGGTAGAGTATTTTAGTGTTAAGTACAGTGATTTATATACTAACAGGAGTATTTTCAAGTCTATTCCCTGGGATATGGGGAGCCAATGTATGGGCTGCTGAAAAAATAAATGCAACAATTTTTGGCATTTACTTAATCATATTTAGTTACTTTAACATAATTGATGTTTGCAGAGTAGGACATTAAATAGTTGTGTTAAAGTAACTAAATATGATTAAGTAAATGCCAAAAACGGTTGCATTATTTTTTTCAGTGCACTTTCTGACTTTTAGTGAGGACGCCCCCAGCAGGATTCCAGATCAACTTCAGCTATCTGATTGAATTTTCTTAGGCGGACCTGTGAAGATACTGTTGCAGTAATCAGTTCTGCTAAAACTGAAGAAAATCATAATTTTGGTGCCCCCATTGCAATGTATTTTTTTAAAATAATACTGCCCTTTAATGCACTAAAATAATGGTGTGAAAATAACAGGAGAAAGATTAATGAACTAATTTTGACAATTTCTTTTAAAGATTCTCTATGAGAGTCGTCCTCGATGGGAAACCCTACCCAAAGGGTGTAGGAAAGAAAAAGAAGGATGCCAAGCTAGCAGCAGCTGAAAACGCTCTGAAGTTGCTGCGTGAGAACCAACCTCCGGATACAGTAAGATCCCCTTTTTCTGCTTAACAAAAAAGCTTAAGAGAATGCAAACAGTGTGTAAGTCCCTAACTTCCTAATATCTTTGCAGACGGAAAACTCAGCAAACGCCACTCCCCCTGTTAGTCAAACTATCAACTACATAGGTTGGCTTAATGAGTATGGTCAAAAAAACAGGGTGGATATAAGACCAGTGGAAACGATACGGCCTGGACCCCAAAATGCCACACAGTGAGTCTAACATGTTCATGCACTGATTCATCTCTACATACCAGTTTACAGCTATGTACCCATAAACCATAAACATTTTTTAGTTATTGTAAGTTCATAGTTGGTGACACCGAATACCCAGATGTTTGTGGAAAAACTAAAAGAAAAGCAAAGGAGAAAGCTGCCAAAGTGGCATATGAAAGAATAAATGCTGATCAATCTAGAGAGGTAAGCAGTGCAGAAATCTATATACAATAATCATGTTTGTTTGTTTATTTAACCTAAACAGTTTTTTTCCCAGAGTATAATGACAATACAGATTACAACTTCAGATATTTTTTTTAAGACAATAACATCTTGGTTCACTGAAGTTTGAATATCCATTCAGCTTTTTCTGAACTGAGAACAGAACTGCATTCAAGTTTGTTGATTATATTGATTTTTTGTTTTATTTGAAGGTTGGAGATTCTTCAGGTCAGCAAAGGTGAGTAAATCACTGTATAAGTGGACTGTTTAATAGGGGCCTAAATCTTTGTTTGTTTTGTTTCAAAAAGCTACAGTGCAACTAGAAATCTATTGTTGACATAACATGATGCAACTCCTGTGTATTTTTGTCATGTATTTATATTACTCATAAAATAAGCCTAAGTAACTGAGTCAGTCATTTTTCAAATTTGGCAACCTTGTTTCTGAGCTCTTGATCAGTCATCTAAAAAATCTAGAGAATAATCAGTTAGTAAAATAATCATTACCTACAGCCCTACCTTCACTACACATAAGTCTTTGGAAGATCAGACCCTTTGAGTTCCTCAGATTAGGTTTTTAGTTAATATTCAACAATAAATTAGATAATTAGACATTATAAATCAACTCTGTAAGCTCTGCAATGGCATCTATCAATCTAGTTATATTCAATTCAGAAGTGCATTACTGAGCCCTAGGGAAGTTAGATGTAGGCAGTGGCGTCAAAACTACACACATTTGTTACTTAAGTAGAAGTATAGATACTGCAGTATCTATAAACAATCTGGTAAAAGTTGACATCTTTGACCTCTTTACTCAAGTAAAAGTGAAAAAGTATGTAGTATAATGTACAGATAGTCTGGTTCCTTTAAGGCGCGTCCTGAGCTTACTGTTCTTGGCTAAAGTAAATGAGCCGAACACAAATGTACAAATTATTGGTGGGAACTGTCCCCGCCCATTTCTAAATAGGTCGGGACATGTCCACACCAGTCCTTCAGAAAGTTACGGCAGTGATTTAGAGCTAAAACAACTCAAACCGTTCTCATGCATAAGTGTTGATGTCTATCTCTCTTCTCTCAGGGACTTCACTGACTCATCACCACAGAACATGCAGACGAGTTCAAGTGATTCTATAATATTTTGTGATCATTCAAACCCTGCCGAATCCCAGGTTTGTTCCATCGTAGTCTAAAAAGTGTGATCGCTAAAACAGTAGTTTACTTTCTTAATAGTTACTTAAGACTGTGCACCATATCACATGGTAAAACCAAGCCAGAACATTTTTGGCCCATTTAATCTCATGGAGGTTTACAGAGTGGTTTCAATCAAATCATAGAGAAACTGGTTAGAAGTTTTCCATCTAGGTAACCCAGCTGATTGCATTGATTCATTGACTGCAGGAGTCACTTCACCTAGATGAGCATGTTGCAAAAGAAGACATTACCTTGCATTGTGTTGTTGACTCTGCAGCAATCCCTGAGATTAAGCATGCATTCAGCGACAGTTAAGAGGAAAACAACCTTTTAACAGGAAGAAACCTTCAACAAAATCAGACTAGAGTGAGCAGCCGTCTGCTGAGGCCGGCTGGGTATTTGATTATTATGTTGGTTTTTTTTTCTTACTGGTAGATATAAATGTCTAAAGAATGACCACAGAGTAAACAACCTCTCATTTTTAATTTTTTTATATATGTTAATTAGGATTTCAGAATACAACATACAGAAATCGTACCCAAGAGTATGAAGCATAGAGGTGATAGACAAATTACAAAAGAAAAAATATACTCTTACCCAAGGGCGTAGGTTTGATTTGAACTTTGGTAGGGACACTATTGGTCTGGTGTCATTGGTGCTATGCAATATGCATGCCCTTTTTTATGCTTGACATGAGCATCAGTACTGATGAGAGGAATTCATTGTTTAAAGAGAAAAGCAGCATTTTGCTACATTGATAAAATATTTTATAAGCACTACACCCACTAGATGCTGTTTATCAATCACCGGCTCTGATGAATGTGGAATTAGGACTGTTTTCCACTTTGAAAATGGTTTCATTTGAACGACTAAGAGAGAAGGTAAATACAGTATTCTCTTTTGAAGATATAGCATTGTGCAGAGGTGTTTCCCACTCTTATATTTTTATCTACTATGCTCTCTCTGTATCAGGCAAAAATAATACATTCATTAGAATATTAACTTCACTATAAAAGTTGAACATCTGGGCTGTAGTTACTCTGTGTAGCCCATTTCATGTGTTTTATCTGGGGCTGAAAAAATGAATCGTATTAATTGATTATTTGAATATTCATCAACTAATTTGGTAATTCATAATTAGCTGGAGTATAGAGACTCTAAAACATAAAATAATTGTGAAATGTGCCTTTCGCCGACAGAGTGACTGACTTAGATCAGTAATTATACCAAAATTGTAAAAAAAATATATATATATATAAACATTTTGCATATAAGATAAAAAAAAAAAAAGTCAATATTCTCCATCCCAAACTCCTCAAGAAGAAATATTTTAGTTTCACCTGGTTTAATGTCATTAATAATCTTCTTTAAAGAACCTTTGGGTATCCAATTAATCGATTCATCAAAAAAATGAACGACAGACTAATCTGTCAATTATTTGCAAAATAATTGTTAGTTTCTGCCCTAATTTTATCATAACATTGCAAACGCATTTCTTACTAAATACATGTGAAGTGGAGATAACAGGCAACCAAACAAACATGTTAATCAGGGAAACTATATTAAAATCCATGTGGCATCATTTGTGAGGTTCAAAAGAGATCACAGAATCCAATTACTCCTACTGAAAAAAAAACAAGACAAAAAAACCCTCACCTGAAGCCCTGAAGGTTCAGACACTTCTCTCTCTAGCTGTGCTGCAACATCACTGCTCATTGTTTGAGTTCCCTAAATCCAGCCATATCAAATACAAATTGATATTTATATTGTATATACATAAAAACGTTGCTCCTTATTTTGTAGTTAAAATCATTTAGACTTCACTAAGAATGAGCCTTTAAGTTTATTCAAATATAAAATCCAATTTTTAACGATTATAAAAGACAATATAACACTAGCTTATCTGTAATGTAAAAATATCCAAAATAAACAGCCAGATTCAAGCATTAGTTACCAGACATTAATGTTTTTACTAATTTACTTGTAGACTGTGTAGAAATCTTTGTTAGATAAAATCAATATTAATAGTGTTCCTCTGTTTGTTCTTGTCTTTATCCTATTTCTAGAAGTAGAAATTGTCAATTAAATATCAGTATTATTATGTGGAACGCTAATTGTGCTTCTTAAACAAAAAATAGCAGATGTTTAGGCACCATCTCTTATTGTTATACTCTATAAAAGAAATAACACCTGCTAATAATTATACCTGAACTTCCTCAAAGAGTCATCAAAAAATTAAACAGTAACAGCAACTAAATATTAGAAGATCGGAAAAAGGAAACCCTCAGATTTACTTTATCAGTCGGCTGTGGCTAAGAATCAGAAATGTTGAAAGCTTACAACCTTTATTTCTTCATTTTTCCAGCAGTCTTCAGAACTTCTGGCTGAATCAGAATACTTATTTTTATAAAAGAAAATAAAGGTTTTTGTTTTTTAGCGTACATGATATTCAGTTTTTTAACTGGGACTAGTTTCATAGCCTAATATTAATTGTAATAACCATGGTATTCTAGCGTGAATAAATTTTCAATTTTGTGCTCCAAGCGCACACGGACTGGAAAACAGCCAATCAGAAGAGAGAAGGCAGAACTTAAGGCAGAACAACCAATGAGAGTGGAGATAGACAGTGCAGCACAGTGACGTGCGCTGTCACTTTAAAGGGACAGGAGAGACCAGGCAGGCACTCAGACGGAGCTGCACCTACTAAGCAGCGAAGCTGCGAGAGGAAAAGAAGCGACTGCTGCAACAATGCTGGATTGTAAATTATAAACATGTTGCTCACATAAAATTATTGGTAGGGATAATTAGGATGGTTCAAAATTTTGGTAGGGACATGTCCCTATGGTCCCTATGCAAACCTACGCCCATGCTCTTACCAATATAACAATACAAATAAAAACATGCAATAACTGAGGAAAAGACAAAAGAAAAAACACACAAGTCAGGGAAATTATCTAAGTAACAGTTACATTGCCCTAATTACCATTTACACTTTGGGATGATACTATCTATCCATGAAGGCACGGATGGTATCCTATAAAAACTGAGCGGGTGTCATGGTCAGTCATGGACTGAAAAAGATGGTCCAAAACTGGCTGCTACAGAACTTTTTCGTGGAGCCCTTAACATCGTACAACAGTTTCTCCAAATAAAGAATCTCAGTAAAATCACTTACCCAAGAAAAGTGGGGTCCACTTTTAAACTGAGGAGCCTGATCAGTTTTCCACAATCTTAATATTACTTTTTTAGCTATTAACATTCCTTACGCCACAGTCGTATGAATTGCAGTACTGCAGTTCCAAAGTGAGGGACAGTGTCCAGATAATGCAATCTGAGGTCTGGAATCAAGGTGAATTTATAAAACATTTGAAAATGTCACCTAAATATTGGAAGAGCTTGGGGAATGACCAGAACAGATGTCTCTAGGAGCCATCAGCAAACTTACATTTTGGGGATATTGAGGGGAATATTCTATGCAATTTCCTTTCCAAATAGTGGAGTCCGTAAAACACCTTGAACTGAATTAAATGGTGCTTTACCTTGATAGAGCATGACCAAATCCTCCCAAGACCCTCCTCCCAGACCTCACTCCCAATCTGCTAGCCCAGGTCCCACTCCTATGCAGCCCTCAGGCAGTCTGTGGCAAAATCAATTCGAAATTATTATTTTTTTTATTCTGGAGAGCCCAAAAGCATTCTGCTTAGCTTATTTTCTTCCCAGAGAAATATTAAATATAGGATGTTAATTGATAAATGTAGTTAGGCCTTTTAGTGTCCAACTTTTAAATGATCTATCCAATAGTGATGGGGGAAAAGCATGGTTGCGGTAAAACAAGATTTCATTTTAAAATCTTTTGTGACAAACAGTGCCCCTGTTGCCTAATGTGATTAGTCTTGTACTTGACACTTCAAAGTATTAATAATGCTTACAAATGTATTGTGTGCAATGCATTTTTGATGTTTTCTAATTAAAATGTGGTGAAAGGAAGGAAAAATAATTATTTTTATTGGATGGCTTAAAAAAAAAGTAATTTAAATTAGTTGTGGCC